TTTTTTTTTTTTTTTTTTTTTTTTTTTTGAGACAGAGTCTCGCTCTGTCACCGAGGTTGGACTACAGTGGCACGATCTCAGCTCACTGCAAGCTCTGCCTCCCGGGTTCACGCCATTCTCATGCCTCAGCCTCCCGAGTAGCCAGGACTACAGGTGCCCACCACCACACCCAGCTAATTTTTTATATTTTTAGTAGAGACGGGGTTTCACCATGTTAGCCAGGATGGTCTCGATCTCCTGACCTTGGGATCCATCCTCCTTGGCCTCCCAAAGTGCTGGGATTACAGGTGTGAGCCACCACGCCCAGCCGCCTCTATTCTGCATTCTTACAATAAAGTAAGCTAGAGAAAAGAAAATGTTATTAGGAAAGCCATAAGGAAAACAAAGTGCATTTCCTGTTCTTTAAGTGGAACTGGATCATCTTAAAGGTCTTCATCCTCTTTTTCATGTTGAGTGGGCTGAGAAGGAAGAGGAGGGTTGGTCTTGCTGTCTCAGGAGAGTAGCAGAGGCAGAAGAAAAATATCCATGTGTCATTAGACCCAGGCAGTTCAAACCCATGCTGCTCAAGGGTCAATTGTATGATTTAAAAAATGTTTAAGTTATGATAAAATACACATAAAATATACTGTCTGGCCGGATGCAGTGGCTCACGCCTGTAATCCCAGTACTTTGGGAGGCCAAGGCAGGTAGATCACGAGGTCAAGAGATCAAGACCATCCTGGTCAACATGGTGAAACCCTTCACTACTAAAAATGCAAAAATTAGCTGGGCTTGGTGGCACGTGCCTGTAGTCCCAGTTATTCAGGAGGCTGAGGTGGGAGAATCGCTTGAACTGGGGAGGCAGAGGTTGCAGTGAGTTGAGATCTCACCACTGCACTCCAGCCTGGGCAACAGAGTGAGACTCCATCTCAAAAAAATAAAAAACAAACAAAAATGTACTGTCTTTGTAGTATACAGTTCAATGGTGTTAAGCGTATTCATATTGTTGTTCAGCCAATCTCCAGAATGTTCTCATCTTGCAAACCTGAATCCTACACCCATTAAAAAACATCTCTGCATTGCCCCTCCCTCCAAACCCTGGCCATCACCATTCAAATTGAAGATAACTTTGAGTGTTAGCAGTTGTAGGAAAAAAAAAAAAATGATTATCCCTTCTAAAAGGAATAAAGGAAATGAAATAAAGCAAAAGTCTGAAAACTACAAAGCTTCAATGTGTATAGTTTGAGATATTATCACTACATTCATAAGGAAATTTTTCTTTACAAGGACAGATATTTTGTGATGGTTTGAGTTTTTCTGTAAAACAGTGATTAAATTTTGCCATTGGAGAAAAATGACAACTAAGAAATTTTCAAATGTTTCAGGAATATATAAGCTCTCTGACTAAACTTATTAGTCTAAATAGGACAACATACCACATCCTCTCATTTATATGTGGAATGTAAAAAGGTAAACCTCATTGAAACAGGGAATAAAATAGTTACCAGAGGCTGGAGGGAGAGGGGAATTGCAGAAATGTTAACCAAAGGACACGAAATTTTAGTTAGACAGGAGAAGTACATTCAAGAGATGGATTGTACGTCATGGTGACTGCAGTCAATAACAATATGTGGTATACTTGAAAATTGCTAAGAGAGTGAATTTTAAGTATTCTCACCACAAAAGACAAAAAAAATGACAAGCATATGATACAAGGCAATGTGTATATTAAATAGTGTGATTTAAGCCATTCCATGATGGATTATACATATATCAGAAGTATCATGTTGTACACCATAGGTATGTACAATCTTCACTTGTCAATGTAAATTTTAAATAAATTCTTTTTTTAATTAAAAAAAAAAAGGATGGACTTGGTGGCTTATGCCTATACTCCCAGCATTCTGGGAGGCCGAGGTGGGAGAATGGCTCGAGCTCAGGAGTTTGAGACCAACCTGGGCAACCTGGCAAAAACCCATCTCTGCAAAAAATATCAACATTAGTGGGGTGTGATGGTGTGTGCCTATGGTCCCAGCTACTTGGGAAGCTGAAGTGAAAGGGTCACTTGAGCCTGGGGAGGTGAAGGCTGCAGTGAGCTGAGATCATGCCACTGCACTCCAGCCTGGGCAACAGAGCAAGGCCCTATCTCAAAAAAATAAAAAATAAAAATAAAGTATAAAGTGACTGTAGGATCATGGCACTGTCTTACACTTTCAGCCTGTGAAACAGAGGTGCCTTTGATAATCTGTATAAATGTGTCTTTGGTGTCCTGATGTAGATTTTTGTCCCCCTGCAACAGCATGAACAGGCTGAACACTTTGCCACGAGGCTTCAGCTCCCTGCCAGCTTTTGAGGTTCTGGACTTGACTTACAACAACTTGAACGAAAATTGTCTTCCTGGAAACTTCTTCTACCTGAGTAAGAAACTTTCAGTTCTATAAATCTCCTGAACACTCTACTTTGCGTTCTAAGAGTGAAATGTATTTGCCAGGACCTAAATAAACTCCAAGAGAAATTACTGGACAGAGATATTTTTTACTTTAGAGACTCCTTTTGAATATTCCTTTGTAGCTCAGCAGTATGTACATTTGATATATCATTATGTGACACCATTGGGCTGAAGTGGACTTAGTAATGTCATATTAACATTCTGAGAGAGATTATGTACCGAAATGAGATCAAGCATCACATTTAGCTAAGAGACTTGACTTTCTTTTTAAATAGCATGCCAATAAAAGGTACCCTCCCATGTTGGTATTAATTCTTTGTGCGATATTTGCCCAGGATGTCACAATCAATTATTTATAAAAATATTTATTAATAAATTACTAACCAAATTTTTTAAATTTCCAGCTAGGATTCTTATCTTCAGCCTTTTAAAAGTACTCTTATTGACCTATTTATCTAGTACATAGGCATTAAGAAATTACTGGCCACACTTTATTCTTTTATATGCCAACAAATTTCTTGCTGAAGATGCTTTTGAAAATTAAAAAAGTGATTTCTTCTGGGAACTCATGCACTATTTCAGACAAGGTTTGCTTCTTTTAAATGAGTGTTCTATTTCTTCAATTAGTAACTTATATGGCATTCAGAAAATCTGAATTTTCTGAGCTGGTCTCTAAAATTTCACTTTTTACCTTATGTACATTATCTCTCTATGACTTTCTCAAGCACATGAAGCCAACTGTAAAATATTTTCTTGGGTGGTGGAGCACCTGTTTTTATTATGTTATATTAATGTACAGTTCTGGAGTCTGAGCTCCAAAGTTCACTTGAGGCTGGAAGTGTAGGACCAGCCTAGGCAACATAGAGAGACCCTGTCTCTAGAAATAAAAATCTAAAAATTAACCATGTAAATTAAATTAGTAGCATGTGCCTGTAATCTTAGGTAATTGGGAGGCCAAGGTAGGAAGATGGCTTGAGGCCAGGAATTTGAGGCTGCAGTGACCCCTGCACTCCAGTCTAGGTGACAGAGCAAGATTCTTATCTATAAGAAATAAATAAATACTGATAAACAAAACATACACCTAATTATAATCAGTTTTTTTGGTTGAGGATAAACAGATGCTTTAGAATTTTAGCCTTCAGTAGTTTGGAATCATATTATCTTTGTGTAATAATTGTGAACAAATTTCTGACTACTGATATTCTGCTTAAGTTAGGATTTACTCTGTTAACTTCATGCCATTATTTTAGCCCCTTTGTCTTCATTTACTTTTGTCCTTAAGGCTGTAGAAACAACCAGTAATAATTAGTCAGATTATGGAACTGATGAGCTATGGTTATAGCCTCCATCGCCAGAAAGCCTTTCATTAATTTTTAACACAGTGCTATTTACATAGGAAAAGGTCTATTTTAACATAGTTGTATTCACTTGAAAGAACCTTTTTGCCCTAGGTAACCATAAAAGTGGCACAGTAGTTTCCTTTGTTTTACGTTGGATGCAAATGGAGATATAAATGTGAATCAAAAGTAATCTATGAGAAAAATAGCAATCTGTTTTCAAAATGTGTTAAAACTCTGTGCCCCAAAATGCTAGTGCCCACATTGTTAATTGCGTCAGTCCTCTTGGATATAGATGTTTTCCTGGACACACCGGATGCACGATAAGCCAGTAAATCTTAGCTCGACCTGCTTGCTATCATTGGGAGCCCTAGGTATGTCAAAGGCTTTTCACCAAGCCAGCGTTATTAATCAAAGCTGACTCCCTCGTATTGATCAGACCTCAAATGGTTGGGTTCCCTGCCACCCTGTTTATATATTGCTGTTTAATTTGCAGCCACCCTGTGTGTACTCTATCTAAGTGACAACAATTTTGAAATCCTGCCACCAGATATTGGGAAGCTCACAAAGATGCAGACAGTAGGTTATCTAAATTCTTAGAAAATCAATTCACTGCTGCAGCCTTTTAGGGGTAGAATCAAGTCAATTTGAGCAGGAGTAAGGTTTGTTTTGCAGGAATAAACCACTACTCCTGATAGTGTTTCTTGATTATCTACCGGCACTTGTAAATAAATGGAAAAGACTGAGTTTTAGTAGAAGAGAGGACATGGAGGAGGATGAGAGTTTCTGTGGAGCACCTTTTAAAGTGAAAATGTGTTGACAACTCCTTGTTTTCTTCTGTTTAGCTCAACAATAGGGATAACAACCTGATCTCACTGCCTAAGGAAATCGGGGAGCTTACCCAGCTTAAAGAGGTCCACATTCAGGGGAAATGCCTCGCCGCTCTGCCCCCAGAACTAGGTAAGGTTGCTGATGAATGAACTTAGTTCTGGGTTTCATGAATAACAATTATCCTAATGTAGCAATTCTGAACAACCTCTCTCTTCTTCTTGGCAACTACTCCCCACCTAGACACCCAGTTCTCATCATTTGAGAACCATGTGTCATTGACCAGAGTTCAGCTGTTATAAGTTTGACCTTCTCCTATGCTGTGTTCTGCAGCTGTAGTGTCCCATGTCTTAGATACTGCTGATGAAAGATGACCCTGCTCAACTCCCCGCATGATGTAGTGGGAAAAGCATGGGGTTAGTAGTAAGAGCCTTATCCGTGGTTCCTCATTGACTAGCTGGGTAAGCTTTCTGGGTCTTGGTTGTTATTGATAATTTTATCTAAGTATCACTCTTACTTTTTAACCCCTTAATTTTTTATTGACCTGGAAAAACTTTTACCAAAAAATTAAAGTAGTTGTTACGGCTACTTGAAGATGTTGATACCTCTGCTGGTCGTGAATTTCCCTCTCTCCTGATCCCATTTCTAGTAGGAATTGTTAAATTTGTTCTTGCTGGGAACAGGTCCTACTTCTGGCCACTGAATCCTAATCCTCTGCCAGGTCATTCCTATTTCCAGGTGGGTTTATATACCCCGTCAGAAATAACCTCCAAGCCAGTCATTCTGTTACTGCTTCATTCCACTCCAAAAGGTTCATGAGTTCCCTTATCTTTACTCGTGCAGACCCTCTATAGCCTCTAATTTCTTTAATCCTTTGAACCACATTGTTTTCTCAAACTGCGATTATTTGCTTTTCTGCCCCCAAAATACCATCATTTTTAAGAAACACATTGAGGAAGCAGTTCTTTAAACAAGTCTGGCAGTTTCAGGAGGCCATTTTTTAGAAATTAGAATGCAAGCACCAGGAGGGCAGGGGCATTTTTGCATTTGTTCCCTGGGGTGCAGTACATGCTCAGAAAACATTGAATGAATGAATGAAAGAAGCAAGGACCTTGGATGGCAGGAAGTTAGGAAGGTTATGAGCAGACTGATGTGGCTAATGGTTATGCATAGGAAGAGTGAGACACAGAGCACGCCCATCAGCACTAAGAGTTCTGTTGGCAGCTTTATCAGTATAAAGGGAAGGCAGTCACATGATTTCCCGGAACAGATGGAAAGTCCTGCCTCCTCCCTTCCCATTTCCCTTGACTCTCTTGTTAGTGTTAAAAGATCAGAGGGTTATTTCATGATTTTTAAGGGCCGAGGAGCAACTCAACATTTCTCTTTATTGAGTTGCAAACAGTCAAGTTTTGTTTTGGGAGCAGGGTTACAGAATCAGGAAACGTTTTTTGCACACAATTTCAAGGCAAAAAACTTCTTTTCAAAGGAGAGATCTTGGGCTCGACGCGGTGGCTCACACTTCTAATTTCAGCACTTTGGGAGGCCCAAGCGGGTGGATCGCTTGAGCCCAGGAGTTTGAGACAAGCCTGGGCAATGTGGTGAAACCCCGTCTCTACAAAAGTACAAAAAATTAGCTGGGCATTGTGGTGCATGCCGGTAGTCCCAGCTACTCAGGAGGCTGAGGTGAGAGGATCACCTAAGCCTGGGAGGTCAAAGCTGCAGTGAGCTGTGATTGTGCCTGGGTGATAGAACAAGACCCTGTCGAAAGGGAAAAGAAAAAGAGAGAGATCTTGCACAGTGGTTAATAACCACAGATGTTACTTGCTTCTTCCCCAGCCTACTAAATTAGGATCTCCATGAGTGAGGTGAATTCTTGTGTAACTTGATGTAAAGCTCATTTAATGCCTCTGACATGTGTCCTTGGTTAGCGTGGTTAATAGAAACAGAAAAATAAATGTATATTTTGATGTCATTTGATCTTATTTCATTTTTTAAGCAGTGAGGCAATGTAGGATATTAAATTAAACAATTGTTTTATCAGACAGTAATTTGCCACAAAAATGTCTAGTTGAACCTACACATGCCTATGTATATATTTTAAAATCTTACTCATTTTGCTTATCTTATTTAAATAGTATATGAGGTCATCTTTGTTCAACATTTCTGTTAAACTTTCCATTAACAAATCATGTATATTTTTATTCAGGTGTAGAATTGAGGGGGAAGGCTTTAAATGACTTGGTTTTTGCCAGCCAAATGTAGAAAAGCTTAATCTTAACATTTGCCTGATAGCAGTTTTTCCTGATTATTGGCAAACACTTAGTTGTAAGTAAATGATAAACCTTTAGAAGTCACTGCCACAAGCTAAACTCAAGATGAAGACAAATGTACTATTTATTTTTGAATGGTGATTTTTTTTAAAAAGTCAACATTAATATATATAATATTAATATATTAACAGCTATTATAATAATAGGTAGTATGTATTAAGGCCTGGAATTGCAAGGCACTGTAAGTGTTTTTCCTGCAATATCGCCTACAATTATCATAAGAATTATAAGCAGACTTTTTAGAGGTGAGGACATTGAAGTGTAGAGAGGGTTGGTTGGTGACATGTCTGTCGGGGACACAACTAGTGAGTCGCAGAGGTGAGATTTGAATCTGGCAGTCCCCCCTCTGGGTCCAGCTTCCTGATCACAGTGAGGTCCTCTTTCCCAACCATATGCTGGTAAAAGGATTCCTAGAAATGCAGTTTTCAAGTTTGAACAAAACACTACGCTGGGACACCCTCCTGAAACAGCAGGCGGAGAGATGTTGCTGGATGGTGAGTTGGCATGGGTTTTGCCGGTGTGTGAGCAAGGCTAGCATAACACTTTGCAAAATGCAGCTGAGATGGCCTCTGGAAGACAAATTGCTGTCCCATTCCAAGTCAGTTGCATTGTCCCCTTGTCTCTTTCCCCTCAACAAACATGACTCCCAACAGGAACGTCTTTTGTTTCTTTGTGTCCCCAACACCTGAGGTGACCATCTGGGTGCTGCTCTGGGCTGGCTGATGGGCAGTGTCAGGCACTGATGATGCACATGAAGCTTATGCTGCAGGTTTGCTTCTGGGGGTGTTTTCAAACGTGGATGATGATCTCTCCCTGTTTATTTTTTACATATCTGAATATACAAGATAAATGCTTTTGAGATTTCTGTGAAATTTACTTTCATAATAAATCCAGAGTTTATTAACTTGTAACATTTTTGGTACTGGTATTTCAGCCAAGCAAGAAAATCTGGATAAGTTCTGATTTGTCATGCTGAGAACATGCAGGGACATAGCAAAATAAAGTCAGGGACTTGGCTGGAGTTTTAATATGTGATTGCATTACTTTCCCTTTATTGTATGTCCTTGAATAAGCTACTTAAACCTTTATGTCTGATTTCTAAGTAGAAAGCACTTGCTTTCATATTAGTCTATATACCTATAAAAAATGAGATGCAAGTTGAGTCTCTCATGTACCCATTCATTCATTCATTCATTTATTATTTATTAAGTTCCTATTTTAGGGCAGATCTTTGAGTCCAAGGAACTTGCTCTTCCAGTAAAGTAAGATTCACTTATTCAACAACTATTGAGCCCCTGGTATTTGCTAAGGATTATGACAAGAGACAGAACACCCATTATTGATGATGTTCTAGTGGGAGAGGACAGAAGAAAGAAAGAGAGAATATGAATGACAGACACATGATATTAAGAGCTCTGGGAAAAAATTGAGCATGGAAGGAAGTGTCTAGCTGGGGAAGGGGTAATCATAGAAACCCTCACTCATAGGGTGGTGGCCTTTATGCAGAGACTTAAAGAAAGGAGGGAGATCTGCTGACAGAGAGAACGGTAAGTGCAAAGGTCCTGGGTGGGCTTGTGTTGAGGAAGAGCAAGGCCAGTGCAGCTGGAACTGAGTGAGTGAAGGGGAGAGAGTTGTAACCAATGAGCTTATACAGGAAGTGGAGTCTGCTTCACATGGGAAATAGTAGGACATTGTCAGAACTCGGACTTTTACTCTGTGTGAAATGGACCCTCCCATAGATGCTCCCATCCTAATCACCAGAATATGAGAATCTGTATTGGTGGAACCTGCCCCCCATATTTCAATGCAGGTTCTTTCTATTTTCCATAAGTGTTGGCCAGCTGAGAAATAAAGAGAGACAGTATAAAGAGGAATTTTACAGCTGGGCCACTGGGGGTGATATCACATATTGGTAGGACCATGATGCCCACCTGAGTCTCAGACCAGCAAGTTTTTATTAAGGGTTTCAAAAGGGGAGGGAGTTCAAGAAAAGGGAGTAGGTACAAAGATCACATGCTTCAAAGGGCAAAAAGAAGAACTACTACTAAGGGTCTAACAGAGATCACATGCTTTTGAGGGAACAGGACAAAAGGCAAAAGCAGAACCACTGATAAGGGTCTATGTTCAGTGGTGCACGTATTGTCTTGATAAACATCCTAAACAACAGAAAACAGGGTTCGAGAGCAGAGAACCAGTCCGACCTCAAATTTACCAGGGTGGAGTTTTTCACCACCCTAGTAAACTTGAGGGTACTGCAGGAGACCAGGGCATAGCTCAATCCTTATCTCAACCACATGAGACAGACATTCCCAGAGCAACTATTTATAGACCTCCCACCAGGAATGCATTCCTTTCCCAGGGTATTAATATTAATATTCCTTGCTAGGAAGAGAATGTAGTGATATCTTCCCTAATTGCACGGCTGTTTGTAGGCTCTCTGCAAAAAGAAAAATATGGCTCTTTTTGCCCAACCCTACAGGCACTCAGACCTTATGGTTGTCTTCCCTTGTTCCCTAAAAATCACTGTTATTCTGTTCTTTTTCAAGGTGCACTGATTTCATATTGTTCAAACACACATGTTTTACAATCAATTTTTACAGTTAACACAATTATCACAGTGGTCCTGAGGTGACGTACATCCTCAGCTTACGAAGATAACGGGATTTAGAGATTAAAGTAAAGCCAGGCATAAGAAATTATAAAAGTATTATTTGGGAACTGATAAATGTCCATATTAAAATGAAATCTTCACAATTTATGTTCCTCTGCCATGGCTCCAGCCAGTCCCTCCGTTCGGGGTCCCTGACTTCCCGCAACAGAAGAGTTTTAGGATGTCTTCCATGACACTTAT